GGGGGTGGGGGGTGTGGTGGGGTGGGGGGGGGGGGGGGGAACATCCTAGAGATGTCAATACCTAGCATACCCTGCAATTTACCCTACGGTCCGCCACTGGTCAGCAGCTAGTAATAATAGTAGAACATCCAGTGTTCATGCCATACAACAGCGTACAAATTTGAGAGGCAGGGGTGTTGCAAGCGATAGCAGTAGTAGTGGCCGTTATAAGCATAGCCGTAAACAACCACAACAGCATCAGTCAAATAGAGCTGCATGTTATAGGTGTGGTAGAGGGAGACATAAGCCAGATGAGTGTTGGTTTAAAGAAAAACTGTCATAATTGCAAGAAAAAGGGATATATAGCGTCACAATGCAGGACAAAGAAAACCACTACGCGACATCAACAAAATCCAGTTCAAGTGGAAGAACAACAAGACAATAACAGTGTAATAATGGCTTCAATGATCAGTGCGTCAAATGCGTCTAACCCAATAAAAGTTGAACTTGAACTAAATGGACAGAAATTTGATTTTGAGACCGGTGCTAAGTATACAGTTGTACCTGAATGGGTATATAGTAAATTAAGCAATGTTTCGCTTTCAGAATCTAGTATACTTTTTAAGAGTTCTACTGGTGAACGTGTTAAGACCTTAGGTACATGTACTGTAAATGTGCAGTATAAAAACCAATGTAAGAAATTGGATATGTATTGTATGTGGTATAAAGAAACTAACCAATTGTTATTTGGTAGAGATTGGTTGCAATACATTCAGTTAAATTGGGCTGAATTAATTCACAGTCTACATTATGTTAACAAAATACAGATGTGGATGCACAAATAAATAAAATTCTAAATGATCGTAAAAATGTGTTTGTTGGTAAATTAGGCTAACTTAAGCATACTAAAGCTCATATTGAGTTAAGAGATGGGGGCTACAACAATTATTAGTACTGTAAGTGTCATCGTGTACCCAATGCCTTAAAAGAACATGTAAACAACGAAATCGATTGATTAGTAGAACAAGGAATACTAACACCTGTTAATCATACAGAATGGGCTAGTTCAATAGTGACCATTAAGAGAGGAGAGGGTGTTCGAATTTGTGGTAATTACAAAAACGACTATTAATCCAAATTTGAAACCAGTGGCCCCTCCCAATATCAACGTAGATGATATTTTATCAAAATTAACGGGAGACCAAAAATACTCGACGTTAGATTAACACAGGCTTATAATCAGATGGAACTTACTGAATCATCCATAGGTCTGTTAACATTAATCACCGAGAAAGGTTTCTCTCAAGTAAATCGCCTTGTGCTCTGCTCCATCAATTTGGCAAAATGCAATGCTACAAATTATTACAAATTTGGACAATATAATCATCACAGGAAAAGATGATGTTGAGCATCTTAAAAATTTAGAGAAAGTATTGTCTCGATTAGAAGAAGGTGTCAAATTAAGACATGATAAGTGTCATTTCATGCAGGATTCAGTTGCATATTTAGGACATGTCATTGATAAAGATGGTGTCCATAAGAGTCCCATCAAAGTTGACCAAATTCTGCAAATTCCTCTTCCACAAGATGTGGGACAAATGAGATCATATTTGGGTATGATCAATTATTATCAGTTATTCATCCCAAATTTAGCTACATTGCTAAGACCATTGTATGCAATGACATGTAAAGGTAAATCATTCATTTGGACTGAACAAGCACGAACAGCTTTTGAAGGTTCGAAAATGGCATTATCTAATCCAGGTTTTTTGGTACATTTTGATCCGAACTTGCCAGTCAAAATTGCGACAGATGCTTCACCGTATGGTGTTAGTGCCATACTTAGCCATATGATATGAGGGGCAAGAACGTCTCGTAAAAATTGCATCGTGCGGATTATCTAAAGCAGAACAAAATTACCCACAGTTAGAACGAGAAGCGTTAGGAATTATATTCGCGCTTAAGAAATTTTATCCATATATCTAAGGACGAAAATTTACACAAAGAAAGGTCTACCAGTATTAGCCACAGAACAAATGCAGCGGTGGGCATTATTTGTTGCCGGGTTCAATTATGATATTGAATTTAGATGTTGCAAGGCAAATGACAATGTAGATGGTTTCTCCAGGTTACCAATTGATGAGGCAGAGGAAATAAACATAGATGTGAACATTACACATCACAGCTGAAGAAATAAGTAAAATGACTAGTAAGGATATTCAGCTAAGTAAAGTGAAATGTTTAATAATGAATGGTTGGATATCAAAATGATGATAAAGCCATAGAACCATATTATTTAAGACGTAATGAATTATCGATTGAGAATGGCTGTATTTTATGGGGAGAGAGAGTGGTACTTCCTTCAAAGCTCCGTGGTAGGGTCATGGATAATTTGCACTGTGGTCATCTTGGGGTTGTAAAAATGAAGAGCATTGCTCGTTCGTATATTTGGTTTCCGAATATTGATTCTGAAATTGAATGGTTGGCTAAGGCATGTGATCCTTGTCAACGCATACAAAGTAGACCAGCTACAGTGCCTATGCATCCATGGTTACCTGCTCGGGAGTGCTGGGAAAGAATTCATATCGATTTCGCTGGACCATTTCAAAGACTAATGTTCCTTATTGTAGTTGATGCATTTAGTAAATGGCCAGAGGTTAAAATAATGAAATCGACGACAGCCATGAGTACAATTGAAGTACTCCGACAAATGTTTAGTCAATGGGGTATTCCTCAAATTGTAGTTTCTGACAATGGAACTCAGTTCACTGCTTCAGAATTTAAAGATTTCATGAAAGCTAATGGTATAATTCATAAGTATTCCTGTCCAGGTCATCCAGCTACTATTGGACAGGCTGAAAGATTTGTCTGATCTATGAAGCAAGGTTTAAAAGCCTCAGTTAATGTTAAGTGTTTGATTCAAACAAGGTTAAGTAAATTCCTCTTAGCATATAGAAATGCCG